TACCCACCTCCCCCCAGGTCGAATATGACCCATCCACCACCACCCTCTGAGTGCGACCCCGTTTGCTGCTGCCGACACCACTGCTGGTGTCTGCAGGTGGTTCCTACTCACCAACCCCCCTCCCCTCCCACCACCAACACCACTGCCAGCATCTGCAGGCAGTCCTCACTCACCACTGACGATGCCACCTACAAATGGTGCCCGCCCAGTCTTGGGAGCCACCAGTTGTTCATGATTTCTGCTACTCTACTGGGTTTCTTCTGGAGACAGCCCACTGGTGATCTTGTTCTGAGCCACTGTGATGGAGAAATCCTGAGGTCACAGTCACCGGTGAAAGTTATTGGGTGGTTACAAGTAAATATCAATTTGCTGTTTGGTGGGTGCACAAGAAATGATGCCCTTTGTGGTGCCTAAGTCCACTGAGGCACCAGCACATGAAACAGGACAGGGGTGGGCAAAATGGTGGATCTGGCTGGTGGCCGGACTCCATTTCCCAGCAGCCCCTGCCTGTGTCATTGCAGCCAGTTTCCAAGGAGACCCCAGCAGTGGCAGGGTCATGACAGTGTGGGACCAGCGTTTCCAAGGAGACTGGCCTCAGCAGCGCTGCCAGGACACACAGCTGGGTGGGGAGCTACTCCAGGGCCAGGGCTGGGACCTTGCAGTGGTGACTGTGCAGCGTGTGGGCAGCGGATCTCAGTTCTGCCCCAGCTCTGGACCATGCTGTCACTGCTGCAAGATCCCAGCCATGGAGCAGCTTCCTTGTTCCCAATCCACCCTGCAGGCCAGACTTTGCCTGCCCCTGGAATAGGGTTCAGCCTCACAAGTTTGCTTAATACAAATAATAGTCTGTATTTACAGAATGTGCTTTATCCAGTGGTAGACATGAGACATTGATCTAAGTTAGAGCAGAAACCCTAAACTTCCGCTGTGTCCCTGGGGAGCAGCAGTAATATCTAAGGCCTTCTCCAAAAAGCTAAAGGGTTTCCTCTTGGGGTCTTCATCAGCCTGTGTATCAGCCATGCCTTAATAAACCACTGACTTTAAAGCCTATGGATTTGTGACTGCATCCCATAAGCAAAATCTTCACTGTAGTGGAAGGGGATTGAAGGAAGAAGCGAGTGGGAAGGAGGAAGGTGAAGGGGATAGGAAGAGAGAAGGGAATAGTGAGCTTCAGGCCAATGCAGAGGGGTCTAGTCTCCATTCACTCATACCTGTTGGGGTTATTTCCCCAAGCACTGAGCACATTCATGTATCATTAGTTATACCATTAAATTAGTGAGAATGGTTGATCCCATTGCTAAGAAATTCCTCTCTCTCATAATTTCAGAGATGACAAGAAGGACGGCCTCAAATTCTACACTGACCCTTCATATTTCTTCAACTTATGGAAGGAGAAGATGCTGCAGGCAACTGAAGATAAGAGAAAGGAGAAACGCAGGCAAAAGGTAAAAGCAACAGAGAAAGCTCCCAGTCAGGCTGTGATGAGGCCTGGGACCAAGTCTGGAATTAGTTCAAATTCTGACACTATGTGGTTCTAGTTTGTTTCTCCATCCCCTTTTCTGTCTCTGGTGCAGGGACAGTATCTCTTTTTGTCATTTGCAAGGTGCCTCTTACCTATTATCTTCTCTAGTCATGATCTCATGTCATGACAGTGCTGCTTAGAAAGGGGACTCATGGGGGAGACGTACTATTGTCTCAACCAGTGCTTGCATTTGTGGCTTCTGTGGCATTCACAGCCCCTGCCAGGCCAAGAGGCTTGGGGCTTTCATATCCCTTTCTATGTGCCAGTCAACAACTGCAAGGCTTTTACATTCAGGAAACATATAGGTCTCCTACTCCGTAGACTGTAATACATGAACCTCCTGAGAGCCGTTTTTGAAGATGTGCCTCTTTGGTGATTTATATCACGCTGTGATCTCAGTCTAACTTTTTATGGTTTAAAAATCATTCAACCTTAGTTGGAGCTTGCTGAATGCTTTGCTTCTCTTTAGTTGGCCCCTGAGAGCAGAGACACAAAGGAAATCAGGGTTTCAGCTGTAGTGAATAGATCCCTTTCCACTTACACCATTGCCTTTATGATGTGGACAAGTACTCTTCACAGTAAGAGAATAGGTATAAAGCCTGTTTCTCTACTTCTCCACTCCTCTCTCACAATTGGATGTTGCTGCCTCCTCTCTTGTCCCATTCATTTTGGTTAATGTATAAGTCTAATGGGAGGTATAAGAGCACTTTAAGTAGGGCTGGATTAATTAAGTCTAAAGGCTTGGCTAGTTCAAGCAGTAAAGGTTTACTCATAAGAGTTTCTTATCCACCCTAAAGCTGTTATCTGCAGCAAGCCTGAGTAGACCTGAATTTCTAGGTTCAGTTTTCTGGCTTGTCAGTACTGTGGTTCAGGCTTCCAAATCTGTGGGTAGGTTGGACCTGTTATTCCACAGAAGATCTCTAGGATTTATGAGGACCAAAGCTCTCACAGGTGATGGTACCAGTAGATTACATGTCTGCTATACCAAATATTGCTCACAGTTTTCAACTATATGTGTACTGGCCTGGTCCAAGCTCAGCCTTGTGGCATCTAGGTCAGCTTGGCTTTGGATGGGCTGGGACATAGATACATGAATAAACAGCAGGACTCGTGGATCAGGAAAGGATCAGGAACTTAGAAAAAATAGCAAAAGCTACTGAAGGACTACATCATGGTGATGGGGAACCTTGATCTAGAATAATATGAATGTGAATAATATGTTGTCATAGTTACCCTCATCCACATAGTCTAAACTCCTTGTGTGTCATCCAGCTCAGGCAGACATAGCACTGTCTACAGCTGTTAGGTGGTCACCCAACCTGTTAAAAGAAAGGTGTTTATTTGCTTCTAGGAGCAGCGGTTAGTAGAAGATTCCACTCGGGAGGTCAAGAAAGTGAGAAAAGCCCGTAACCGGCGTCTGGAGTGGAACATGATGGCGTATGATAAAGAATTCCGACCCGATAACAGGTTCTCACCATCCCCATATCACATGGCCTCATCGGAAGGATCACTGTCCCCAGATAATAGGCAGGTTTTATGTATTACACATTTAGCCCATTGTTTTTTTTCTTTGCTTTTCTTCACTTTTTCTTTTCAGTTTTCTGGATATATTGATTGCTCATGACAGTGAAGGACTCTTAGTGCTGGCTAGGAAGCAGGCTTAGGGAAGACAGGCATTGTGCCAACAACGCCCCCAGCCCACTGCACCTCTACCCTAATGTACAGTGCCACCTGCTGGTTTGGACCTGAGTCTGACAAACCATGTCTCATGTGACATGGGTTTTGTGACCTCCTTGTGGACAGGCGATAATATGGGACATTTCCATTTGGGACCTAAACTAGATCTGCAGAGGTGTCAGGCTGGTTCATTACCCTGCAGAACTCTTCCTGTCTTCCTACTCTGCTTGTACTGCCCCAATACTGCCTCTTGTAGGTTTGTATAGCAAAAGCTCTGTTATCCGGCATCCCCTGGGAAAAAATATGCCAGTTAAAAAATCAAATGTGCACCGTCTGGTGTACTCCCTGGTGTCAGTGTGCCAGGGGACAGGGAGGGGGCCCCTGCACAGGCTGCTTTGCCCTGAGCAGGCTGCTTTGCTCCTGGCCATGGGCCGAAGAAGTGAAGGAGAAGAACTTAGCTCATGGCTGAAACCAGAAGTGGGACTTCCAGTTTCACTTTTACTGTGTCCCTTGGATGCTGGTTAGTGGAGCTTTCTGGTTGATAAAGTGCTGGATAACACAACTTTTGCTGTACTTTGTGGCAACACCTCCCATCTCCCTATGTTGATGCCTTGACCCCAAATGCCAATAGGTACCATCATAATCCCCTTGACCTCTCCCAACTTCACTTCCCATTCCTGCCCTCCATCCAGGAATACAACCTTTGATATTTTTGTGTGCAACAGATCTTATGCATCAGATGCAGCTGATCACTCATACCCTGCCAGCCCTAACCACCCTGCACAACAGATACTAGCTCCAGCATCACATCTGTCAACAGACAACAAAGAGGTCATTCTAGTGACCAGCCAGGCCCAGGAACATGTATACAGACCTTCAGCAGCAGGAAGTCGACAGAACAGTCTCAGCCGTGTCCAGCAGCCCCATGTACCACAACCTCCAGAGACTATACTGAATGGACCAAGACCTCAGATAGTCAAAGAGTATGGGTATGGAATTCAACCTTCTTTCTTTCATTATGAGACCTGTTTTTCCCCTTTTAAAATGAGTGTAGTGCTTTGAAAAGATGACATCAACTGCCCTGGAAAGGGAAGCCCTCTATCCATGACAAGCATAAGCTAGGCAGCAGTTGTCACATAGGCTAGCCCTCTGGCAGTCCCCTCAGCCTTCCTGAGGGGGGAGACCGTAATTCAGCCTCCAGTGCCCATTCATTTTTTCAGCCTTCTTCTCAGGAGGTTGAAGAACACCAGTTACGGCTGTCTGTGAGGGTGGTTTATGTGAAGTCAACACATGTCTAAAAAGAACAGCACTGGAAAAAATACCATCTCCTTTCACCACAGTGCTCAATTAGTGAGAGTTTTGGACTGGTTCAAGACTGGTTTGAATTCTGATTAGTAGTCCACACCTGAGAAGTTCTCTGCCTTATTCCCAGTCCCTTGACCCATCCAGCCCTCTCCCAGCAGTTAGCATCATCCAAATAGAGGATAGCCTTTATCATTACCCAAACAGAAACTGATGCTAAAACAGTCGTGCACAGGTTCAAATTCCAATCTCAGTCACTTCTCTGTAATATTGTTGTAACAAGGGCCTGCCCCAGGGGCAGCCATGAAGCCCCCTGGTGGCTGCTTAGCCTCTGTTGTACCTTGTTCTTGAGGCCCCCTCCCATTTTGCTCATCTGCCATGCCCTAATGTGAATATATATTTAGAAATGGGGCCAGGGATCCCTGAGCAAGAACTCATCCATGCTATCATTGCACATCATTCACAAGCTATGGTCTAATTGCTCATCCCTTAAGGGCTAATTTTGTGGCCCCATCGTCTCCCCTTCTAGCCATGCCCAAGCCTTGCATATATTACCAATCAATCAATTCAGTGGCTTCTCTAGCCCTATCTTTGCCACCCTCTGGATGCTGGGCGCTCTCTAGCCCCATCTCTGCCCCTCTCTGCACATTGGGCTCTCTCTAGCAACATATCCATTTCTTTCTATGCCCTACTCCCAGGCTTTGGCCTTGATTCCAGATATGTTACCTGCTCAGCCCTGTTCCCAGACTCTGGCCCTGCTCCTGGGCCTGCTGGGCCCTCCAATCTCCCCCACTAGTCCCAACCCCCAAACCACCGGTGCTCTCCAGGCAAGTCCACACTATTGTACTTACCTGTCCTTCTCCTGGGCTCAAGGTATCCATGGTGTAAGTTAGGGGCTCCTCTGCTGGCCTCCTGGAATTCCTCTCATGACCTGCTGCAGCTCAGGCCCTGGGCTTATATATTCTCTAAACCTGCCCCCCTTCCATTCCTCTTCCCTTAAGTGCCACCTGAGCCCTGTCTCCAGCCTTTCTCCTCTTAAAGTAACAGGAGCTCCCTACTACAACCATACAACTGAGTGCAAAGATATGTCTGAGAGCAGAATTCAGATCAAGATGGTTGTTGCCCACTAGGAGATGGGAGTGTGGCCTGAAAACTGTCCAGAACCTTGGGCAGCTTTCTGTTGACATTTGCATAGGAGACACCTGGCCTGTTCTGCAAGCCTTTGTCTTCCTGTATCTCTGTGCACGTCAGCCTCCTATGGGAGATCTTACCCCAGAGGCAAAATATAGAGCAAAGCACAGGATTAAAAATAATTCATCATATTCATTTGAAATATGGCCATAGTCCTCCAAATGGCCCATTTGGGCTTCAGGTACCATTGTGTGTGTGTGTATCTGGCCAGTTTCCCCTTCAAGTAAAACTATTTCAGCCTTCAGAGCTCTATATGCAAAGTTTTCTGTGCATTGACACAGTGCTTCTCCTAGTCCAGCATCACTTTGGACATCGAGGAGACTTGATGCCAGATGCTTTAGGGAAAGGTATAAACTCATCTGATCTTAAAAATTAATCTAATGGCACAATCCTATAAAATGGGAAGGAAATTTATTCCTCCCTTGAGATGCCAAACAAACCCTGAAGCGTGAGGACTGGTGGCTGTTGTAACTCTCACCTTGCTGGTATAATAGCAAATGCTGTTTCTGGCAAGATGCAGTGAGATAACTTGCTTTTTGAATGAATGTATAAGGCCTCATTGCAACACTATTACCCAGCCCTTTGAAACTGCACAGGCCAAAAGACATTTTTCAAATAACAGCTAGGTGACATTTTTTCTTTTTGGTGCAGCTTTCAGTGTGTCAGGCTGTGAGCCCTTGTCACAGCAATTGCTGCCTAGGAACATGATGGATTCAGCCAGAACTCTGTGTTCCCTTGACTTTTTCTGTGTTTAAATCATTAGACATCCAATGTGTTTCCAGCATAGCTTTTCAAAGGGGAATATGAAAATCAGGTGTCCCTTGACCAGAAGAAATGAAACCTTCCAAGAATATTGAATCTGCTTTGATTAGAGTCTCAGTTCCCATCAGGTTCTGTTAGCTTCCATACTCTAGTTTGTATTATGCAGATTTTGCTTCTCTGTCTACTCTTCCTCGTCACTCCCCACATATATTCCACACACATTTTAAATACTCAATGAATGACACATCAGTGCAAGATACTTTTGTACTGCTTATACCTCCCTTTTCTGACCTATCTTCATGGCCTTGACACTTCTGTAGCAGTTACACTTGCTTGACCCAGGTCTGGATTTCGGCCCAGTATATCCACCTGCAAAGGCCACCTTCTGTGTAGTTCGTATGTGTGTGCATCTTTCAGGACACAGATAAGATAAATAGGTATGAACCACTTTAAAGGCAGCCACCTCTGGAATAAACAGGGCAGCTGGTTCATAGCTGCACCAAGCAATAGTTTAGATCAGAAAGCAGAGACAAATGCCCAAGTTGGCTGCAGCCCAAACTGAGTTGGGATCTGGCTGGGATGGTATTAAGGTAGGTGGCACTGAGTGGAGTGTCCTTGGTTTTCTTTCTCCTCTGAAAGGTTATTGACGCATAGGATCTGTTTCAGTGAGAGTGATTCCACTATTGCTATTGATTTGCTTTCTGTTCTTTAATTGTTGCAGCCAACAGCAGATGCCCATGGCAGAATACTTTGTGCCTCCTGCTCCTCCGCCCCCACCCCCTGTGATACCTTCTGCTCAAACTGCCTTCGACAGCCCCATCTCAGCACCCCCCGCTCTGGCTACCAGTGCCACAGCATCCATGGCTCACTCGTCCTATGCACCTTCCCCACCTCCAGCTCCGCCCTGCCCATATTCTGCTTCTCCTCCTCAGACTGGCCCCATGGGCCCCCCTGTTGCCCCTCCCCCTCCTCCACCTGGCCCTCCAACAGTCACTGCTTCGCCAGCTCACTCAGCATCACCCCCCACCGTTACGGTTGAGCCTCGGAAACCTCAGATCCCTCTGATACCAATGAGCGATGCCAGGAGCGACCTGCTTGCTGCGATTCGTAGGGGTGAGTTACGTCCCTGGACATCAGCACTGGCCTTACAGGAGAGAGTGTGAGTGGGGCAGCAAGTTCTGCTGAGACTGCAAGAGAAGTGCAGAAGAATGGGGGGCAGCTGCAGAGAGAGACCTGCACTCCAGAGGCCCAGTCCAAAGCCCATTTAAATCCAGGGAAGGTCCTCTACTGGACAGAGGTGAAGCAGATTTTGTTGGTGACAGGGCTGGTTAAGAAAAAATCCAATACATGGCTTCAAAAGTGATAGAGGAATTATTTAGGGTAGCAGGAGTAGAAGACAGCGGGTGAAAAAGAGCAAAAAGACTATTTAATTTGTATTTCAGAAAAAAAAATATACTCCTCACACTGAAGTTTAGCCTTTCAGAATAACTGGTAGAAGTCCCATCACATGGGGTACTTGACATTGGACCCTATAGAGAACTTGAAAATATCTAGTAAGGATCAAATTTATATTAGCTACCTTGAGGATCCTAGTTGATAGTAGGGGCACACATACTCTAATAGGTCTTTTCCATCTCCGTTTCCTACAAAGAGCCACAGGCTGAATAATAGTAAGGGAGACAGGCAGTGGCTTTGGAGTCCTGGTAGTGCCTTGGTGTGTGTTTGTGTGTGCTTGTGCTATGAGGCGTCCTTCACTGAAGGCACCGTGTTTTCATCTCTGGAGGTCTCTGGTTCAGTCCACTGTTTCAGCCAATATGGCAGCCATCAAGCACACTCATAGGTCAACTGGTAGCAAGCTGGTCTTGCTGACCTAAATGGTTTTCCACCTTTCTTTAATGCAGGAATTCAACTCCGAAAAGTCCAGGAACAGTGGGAGCAGGAGGCAAAGAAGGAACCAGTTGGCAACGATGTGGCTACCATCCTGTCCCGCAGGATCGCAGTGGAGTACAGTGAATCCGACGATGACTCGGAATTGGACGATAACGAGTGGTCAGATTGAGAAAGCTGAAATGCAGTGTTGGACTGTCTCTCTCCCACTTCTTATGTGCCACAGGTGTGTATTAGTGGGCTTCCCCAAAAGTAAATACTGAAAGCCATTAGCAGTTATGGTAGTGTGACTTGCTTTTATGCTCTGTTGCATTGTTTAAAAAAATTGCAGTATCATCACCATTGGTGAGTGCATTGGGCGAATGCACTTTAGAAGCAGGATAACCAAAATTTGCCCATAATAGCACTAGGAGTAAACACAATACTTCAGTCTTTAATAATGCTGAAAAACACTACTGGGTCGGGATCAATGGAGTTACTCTAGATTTATACAGGTGTGACAGAGGTCAGAAGCTGGCCCCAGGTGTGAATTTTTAGAAAGGAAATTGCATAGGCAGCACTGCTTATTCAGCTAGATGTTAACTGTGTAATGAAAAACTCCTGGAAAAGAATCATGTTCCCTTAGAAAACCCAACCGCATGGTTATAGATGTCTAGAGACCACTGTTCTTGTTTGTGTTTTGCTCAGAGCTTTGAAATTCTGGGACTATGGGCCTCATGACCAGGGACAATCTGTGTTCATTGCTCTGCCAATTACAGACAAGAAGCGTTTGTTTTTGTCGTTCACTTTGCTTTGCAACAGTCACAAAGGCGAGTTCAGTGCCATATCCCACTGTCACTTTTAAAAGCACTTCATGAGTAGGCTGAGATGTTTATGGTGTGCTTAAATTTCCATCTTGACACTCAGGTTCCCTGGAGAAAAGTGTGAAGGGGAAGTTCAGTATAAACCATAGAACCAGCTGTCCTTTTGCAGCCAATAAAGAAACAACACCCTTGTCACTGCTTTGAATGCTGTAAGGCATATTGCAGGTGCAAAAGAGTGAGCAATTTAATTTAAGCTGTCTAGAGAAGATTCTTACAGCCCTGAAATTAATGGCTGTTTGAACTGTCTTAATTTGGTATTTGCAAGGAAACTCACTGAGTGAAATGGTGCTCTTAAGTCACCTGTTTGAAATACACAGTGAGCAATATTTGTCCTTTTGGGTTGATTTTGTTTTTCACTCTCTAGCACTAGAGGATATGCCTGCATGATGTGAGGTTAACTCAGGCTTATTGAGTTACAGAAGAAAAGGGTTAACGAGGGCCCAGTTCTTCCACTCCAGTGATGGAGTACAGCTAACCTCGTGATGACAAGTAAAACTTGGCAAAATAGGGCCCTGGGTTATAATGCCGAAAATAGCACTTTGGTTTAATTAAAATAGAAAGCAACTTAAAGAAGTATTTGCATGCAGATATTAAGGGAGAAGACACTGGAAGCCAACAGGATCCTGCATGAAATACTGAAAATTGCAGCCAGTCACAGCTCTAGGAGAATGTGAAATGGGTTCTGCTGCATAGAAAACAAGCTAGTGGCCGTCTTGATTCTGATTGCAGTATGTGGCCATATAAGGCCCGTGTACTGTAAGGGACCTAAACACACACGTGCTTCTAGCTCATCAGTGAGATCTCCATTCTGACTTCCCTTGACTGCAGTCCCATCTCCCATCTGACTTTAGAGTCCTGGATGGTGGAGGAAGTTGAACTCTCTTTCTAATGGGAATCTTGCACTTAGGTCCACCTCCTGGCTTTTAGGCCATGACAAATGAAGGATACAGACAGGTAAGAGTCAGCCGCAGTGTTAGTGCTCCATTCTCTGAAGGTAGAGAGACTAGGTGAGAGACAGAGAGGGTGCTGGTTGGAGTCCACAAGTGTCATTGCATACAGAGCACCATTTAGCTGGTGCAAAAACTCACCCTCAGTAACTTGGTAATGTCAGTGCTGAGCTGTACTCTAGGTATTCAGCTGTTTTCCTCCTAGAGAGGAACTTGTTCTTGTTGAGACATAATGAATACAGTCTGTAATCCCAGCCATCCTCTGGCAATTGGTGGTCCTGATAACTAACAGCTCCTTTACTAAAAGGTTATGTGTTCTTCAGGACCTTGATTCTCCTGCTATTTGCTCATGAGCAGTAACAACTATTTTCAAGGAGGCCATTACTTGCTTTGTCTAATGAAATTATAACCTGTCCCATGAATTTAACCATATTCAACTGCTCCCATCCCAGTACCTCCTTTAGACCATTAAGGATTGGTTTGTGGCTCTGTGAGATCCAGGCATGCCACATTCTCTTCCTTCTTCAGCAAATATGTGGATCAGTCTGTGGGTAGTGCTGTGTCGTCTAAATGATTTTTTTCATGTGACTGTGTTGGGGAGAAGAGCTCAAGAAATAGTGCTAGTGCACAGGACTGCTTGTAATATATTGTACAGAAGTTTGTGGGTTGGCACATCCATTTCTGGGAGTGGCAAATGGTACCTTTGAAGGGGGTCCTGATGGGTTGAAGCACAGGAAGCTACTATGTGAATGACCTCTTGAGGCACAGTAAGCTACTATGTGAATGACTCTCCAGTTCTAACCATGTATCTTAAACTAAATCGAAAAGGCTTTTGGGGTGGGGTGTGGTCTTCTCTTAAGCAAATCTCTGACTTTCATCAGACTGTACGTCTGAGTGAGAGTTGTACGTCATAAGCTTGTATTTTATCTTTGAATCTCATGTCATGATAGTGTTACTGATATGACTATTCCTCAAACACCTGCTCCTGCTTTGCTCATTAAGACCTGGTTTAAAGTCCAATGAGATAGGACTGCTACTAACAAAACATGTTATGGCTGAAGTGTGGTCAACACTTAGGTTCTTATGTGAGGGACCCAGGAACACAGGATGAGCCACACTAGGTAGGATCCCAGGTCCTTCAAGTGCAATATCTGGTCTTCAGCAGCAGCCAGAACAGAAAATAGTGATAGCTATATGTGATAGAAAATCCCCATAATGCATTCAGCTGGTTTTTACAGAAACAAGGGAGTGGAATATGAAAATTCCCTATATGAACTGAATAGCAATAGTTCCTGATACAGATGACATCCCAGCCAAAGGGAGGGACAAGGAAAACAAGACAAGGACCCAGTAAAATGCAGCACAGCCTCCCAACAACATTGACCTAGAAGAGAACAGCTCACATGCAAAGCCTCTGGAGGAGGGAATGTTTAGCTGATTTGGAAGGAGCAGCAGAGCTGAACTGGGAATTCATGGTTTGCAGTGGTTACTAGAGGCATTTGCTCTGGACATCACCCTCACTCTGCCACTGTCCCCCTGAGCAGTGGAAGAGACAGAGACAGCAAACTGCTGAATAAACTAGTAGTCAAAACCTGATGTCTTTGCTCAAGCAGAGGAATGCTGAAGTGATGGAGATACTTTCCTCAATGAGGTGGACAGGACTTGACCTTATGACAAAATAAGAAAAGGCCTTGTTGGTTGAAAGTAACATTTAAACAATCACGTATAAGTATTTATTGTATAGTGTTGTTAATATATGTGTGGTTTTGATATGATACATACATGAAAAGAAATACCAGATAAAAAGTTTTTATTTGCAAAATGAAAATATATATGTATATAATATAGAGAGATAGAGAGGGGAATAATGAAGACATTAATTGCCTTTATCTTTTATATTCATTCTATATTTATTTCATTTGGGCCATAGGGCTGTGATTAAGCAGTGATGAGGTGGGGCAACAAACCCTGAGCATTTCCCCCTGTCAGTATGGGTAGAGGCAAGGAGACAGACAGGCATTTGTGCAGGAGGGCTAAACCGCTCCTTGCTATGTTTGACTGGCCAGTAAGAATGGGACGGACTGATGAGGGACTTCCCTTTCTGGCTCTTTGCAATGGCTGGGCATGATGCCTGCCCTACCATAGTGGGTTTTTAAGATTGGAGCAATCTTATAAAGAGTGGCCAGCTGGACTTTGCAAGGTGTGTGGTGCAGAGCTGTAGGCACGATGCCTCTGAGCAGTGATTCTCAGCCAGGCTGCTGGGGCACCCTGGGGTGCTGCGAGATCCTTGAAGGGTGCTGCAGAAACTATGAGGAGATCAGTAGATAAGGGCAGGCTCTGGCTCTCCCTGCCTGGTTGCTCCCCACCCCCACTGCTAGGCCTGTCTGCAAGAAGGTAAGCACTGCAGTAAATCAGTTAGCTTTTTAAATGGGTGTCAGTCAATTCACAAAAGTTATGGAGGGGCCTTGAGTCTAGTGCAGAGTGCCTTGAGTCTAAAAAGGTTGAGAACCACTGCCTTAGAGAATGGCCTACAGAAACCAGTGCCACATACTGGGCCAGGGGCTTAACACTGCAGAACCTAATTATGCTCCTCTTACACTGGTTTTGTACCTGGCTAATGCCATTACCTTCATGCCCCCAAATTACACTCGTTTTTCTGACAACCATAATCAGGCCCACAGACTCACCCAGACATTGGCCACTCACAGTGACAGATTCTGCCTGTTTTATTCAGGCTAATACTAGTGAAGGTCATGGAAGTTGCCTTACTAGGACTTATTAGGCCCAAGCTAGCCCAGCCAGACCAGGGGAGGATTGTTCCCTGTAGTATATATCCTAGCACAGAGATGTGTAGTGATTTTATTTTCTGCGGGGAGGCGTTAGCCATCTTCCTGAAATTGCCTCTTGGTTGTTATGCAATATCTTTAGGAGCAATTAGGGCAAGATGCTCATCTGAGATATTTAAAAAAGATATATAGTAAGTGTGTGTGTGTGTGTGTGTGTGTGTGTGTGTTGTTTGCAGAGATACAGTGCAACCTCAAACCCTCTCTGTTCATGAGAGCCACAGGAGACCAGTGGACTGGCTTTTGCTTCCATATTTATTTCCGTTCTGGTACCATACTTTCCCCTCTTCTCTCTCATAATTTCCACCTGATTCTTAGCACTTGCTGATGGCCTTTTACTGCAGCTCTGTTTAGAACAGTTCCTCCCCCTTATAAATAAGCTTATTTCATACAAAAACGTTCAAAAGGCAAAGCAGGAGGAATCATGACTCAGGCGTCTCATCCATCCGTGTAGAAGACATGATGGGCCAGATCCCCAGCTGGTGGGAATTGGCTTAGTTCTATAAAGCTACACTGCTTCGTGTCATCTAAAAATCTAGCCATCTAGAGTACATTTTCTGTGGGCCGAATCCTATGAAGGGAAGGGGGATCATTTGCCATTGACTTGCGGGGCTCAGCACCTTACATGATCAAGAACATTGTGTATTTTTAGGCAGTATTAATACATTTTTGTTCCAAATTCTGTTAGGTGTTAAATAGGTAGAAGACCAGATCCTTCATTAGGATGTATCAGTGTAGCTCCAATGAAGTCCATGGTCCTATGGTAATTCAGCTGAAAACCTAGTTCATAAGCTTAGTGTTAAATATTGTGTGTATATGTGCTTATTTCCATACACACTACCACAAGTAGGCCAGGCAATATTATACAACCTGAAACATCTAAATCCCAATGTGGCACAATATAAAAGTGAATATTTAAATATTTTATCTAGTTTGGTAGCCATTAAAGATACAATCCAGGTCACAGCTGATTAAATTTCTACTCTCTGTCAAGTACATCAGAAGCAAGCTGAGCAAAACCTACTGTACACTGAGATATAATGTTTCATGTTAAAATATAGTCAGATAGTTTAGTGCCAACACGTTGCACAGTGCCAAACATTTAAAAACCAGATCTATCTATTGAGAGCTCTTGTTTCCATTTTATCAGTCTCGTCATGCCTGCCAATCTATGAACATAGATTAAAAATTCAAAATAAAAGATTCCTAGCAGGAGAAGCTGTATGTGGTATATTTACCACGTGAGATGTACTGAAGTCAGTTAAACACACTCTTTGAAACCTGCTTATGGGGCATTATTTGTAGTTTCTGCTCCATGAAGCTCACTGAGGACTTCTCTCTGCAGATCTGAGTTGCATGGGAAGTGATTCTCCATACTCTGCAGCTACCATACAGGAGGTCTGATGCCTGTGGCTCGTCATGATATTGTAGTCTGGGACAGGTCCTGCTGAAGTCAGTGAAAGTGCAGTGGAGTTTGGGTACAGGGATTGTACCCAATCTTTCTCCTTTTTTTAGTGGCAACTGAATCAGGCGTGTGATACTTGTGACAACTGGATCTCCTCACTGGATTGGTGACCTGAAAGAAAAGGGATTGTTTATTTTCAAACCTACCGCTGAAGACTTTCGAAACCCTGCTGTGAGGCAGTGAACTGGGGAGGAGGAAGCATTGCATCATACAGGTTCTCCTGCTTCTGAAGATGTCCCATCCTGTGAAGGTGACATTCTGGTGATTACCCATAATATATACTTTGGATTCTCCCAAGAGCCCTGCAGAAAGCTTTTTACCTTTAGATCTCTTTTAAGATGCCTGACAGACTTGTTCTAGTTGAGAAACACCTCCCCATAGGTCAGGCCTAGGAGTGTTTCCATGTGGGCGCAATGTGCTAGCAATTCCTCAGGTAGTACTTCATGTTATGGGGGCCACATGTGGTACAATCATGGTAGTCCTTACTCAGGCTGTGCTTCCACTGAAGCCACGAAGCCCTGTGTCTGAATCTGGGCTTCAGAAACAGGCCTGTCTTAATTCAGGTTTTAGTGATGAATGTCCTGTAACAACACAAGGAGGACAGAATCATAGATTTTCAAGGGGAAGGACGCATGGGGCTATTCCCTGGTTATTTGTCCATCATTGGTGGCCTGTTCTCCATTTATCCTGTGACCTGATGTGACCAAATCTTCTGATCCAAGAAAGGACGCTCTCAGTAGGAGGGTGGCTGAGCATTGGTAGAGGCCACTGCGAGAGCTTGTGGAATCGCTATCATGGATGTTTTTAAGAGCAGGTTAGACAAACACTTGACTGAGATGGTTCAGTCAGGGATGATCCTACCTGGAGCAGGGGGTTGGACTAGATGACTTCTGGACGTCCCTCCCAGCACTACTATTCTGTGATTCTAATATTCTGAATACAGTGGGATGGGACTGAGCCGAGTGTGCAGGAGGGTATGTAGGTGGCTCATCTGAGAGCAATGAGTGCACATGTCTGACAGAGCAAAGCTGTCTGCAGCAAAAGGCCCATGAAGGGGCACTTTTAGGCATAGCCAGTAGATTCATAGACCAAACAGTGCCTTTGTGTGGGTGCTAGAGTAACCACGGAGGCTGCCCGGTGAGTGGCAGTGGCGACCACTGGCACTCGAGTCGTGGAAGAGGCAGTCCAACCTGCCTGGAACTCGCCTATGCAAAGTTGTCAGCCTCTGTGCATGGAAGGGGATTTTGTCCCATGTCACAAGCTGTGTAACTGGATCCAAACAGTAATCCTGTTTATTCTTGTTTAGGTATACAGCATTGTAGGTCGGCATGGCACTTTACAGACAAAAATTAAAAGGCAAGGCCTCTATCCTGAGGAGCTTGCAGTTTACAGCAAAGAGCATATAACCTGCACTGCACTTTAGAAGACATCTGTTGTCAATCATTTCCATACTCATGAATTTGTCCTCAGATGAGGTGCTATCTGTGGTGTCATTAATTATCTCGCCACTACATTGTGATTTCTCTGTAGTGTCTGAGTAAAGACAGAGCACAAATGATACATGCTACTAGTGACTGACTGAAGGGTTTAAAGTGAGATTGGCAGGTTAAACTGATCGTCATCTCACAAAGTGATAGGATTGTTACCAGGAAGTAAAATACTGGTCTTCTTAAAATTGACATCCATTCTTCCAGATGTTCTTTCATTTTATTTGTCCTTCTTACTGTGGACTGAGTGAGACAGCCATGCTTCTGACCTAGCATGAAGGAAACAGGTCAGTGTTTTTGCTCATGAGTTTTCCATGGTAGAACTGGCTTGATACCAATAATGTCATAATTCTCAATGGATTGCTACATGATGATGTGTAAAGGTAGAGAGGTGGAGTGATTGATGGCTCTTTAGTGGCTGGCCGGGTTTTCTTCCAAATCCTAGTGGGCATATGTCCATTTCACAAGCATGGTCACAAATGACGCTGTTTGTTAGATGCATTGATGGAGGCTGAACTGTGCAACAAGAAAGCATTTATCTGTGGAGATGAACAGATCTGTCATCCCTCAGAGGGGTCTATCCAAATGAGTGTTGCAGCCCATGGCTAGTAAGGTTGGGAAGGAGGTTATGTTATCCCTACTTTGTGTACTTTGTTTCCAGAGCTGTCAATCCAGCACTTTACAGTAGCACTAAAGAGGCCCTCCAAAATAAAAAGTGGATATCCCTAACTTCTTTGTTTTTTGGTATCAGTTCATAAAGGGACCCTAACTAAGTGAGAAGCACCTTACTTAGTGGTGGTAACATTTAAATTTGGTCTCTGTTCTGTCATATGTATAATATGGGGTGTAGAGCACAGTGACATAGTAAATAATACATGCATTTTTTAATGGTAGTGTTGATAGCTAAGATTGAAGTTATGGAAGAAGTAAAAGGTTTATAGCACAGGCTAACAGATGGTGCATTATTTCCTTCCTATCATCATATTCTCTGCTAGAAATAACAGATTAGGTATAACATGCTAGCCTAGGCTCATAGACTGATGTTTTTTCTTACAAATAGCATGAATGGACAAAATGGACAAAGTATAGTGATTTCAAAATATCTAGTAAGAAAGAAGCCAGGTCCAGATATTTCAGGGGTGTTTATGTGTCTAAAGATACTAGTAGGCTCTTAGCAGGGTTAGATATCTAAACTTCCTAGTCACTTTTGAAAGTATCACTGGGTGCTTGTCTACGTCTTTAGTCACCTGAATAGCCTTGAATATGTGGCTTAGTATGCTAAATCCTTTCTAGCTATCCTACAGAAGGGCGTACCACGAGGTTTGCTGTACTCAACAGGAAGAGCCTGAAGACTGGTTTCCCTAAGGAGTGTTTAGAAATGCCTGACCAGCAATTGGAGTTGCACGTGCTCACAACTCTTATGCCACACTCAGTGCATGGATTTCATTAGTTTTGGGAACCCCTTCCTATAGTGTCTTGGTCTATCCAGAGC